TGTGGACAGCCAAGAAAACAAACAAATGGATCATTGAATAAATCAACCCAGAATTCTCACTCAAGGCACAAAGGACCAAGCTCAAATTATCCTATTTTTGACACGTTATGTGAAGACCCAGCACTCTGGAGAAGGCTCTAATGCTTGGAAAGGTGGAAGGAGAGAGAAGAAGAGGACCAGCAGCAAGGTGGATGGACTCAGTTACAGTGGCAAAAATCAAACGATGTAGTCACTAGGAGTTGAAAATGACTTGATGGCACATAATCAATTGATCAATCAATCCACACAAAAACTATGCCTAGTCGGAGTCACTAAGAACACAGCTCTGGAAAAAGGGATGAGTTGGACATTACACCCTCAGCGTTAGGCTTTTCTCTCTCTGCCCACGTTCTGTTTTTCTCATGTTTATGTATCTTTTCACTAGGAATTAACCAGTGAAAACAGGGAGTAAAATCTCTTACAAGGGCTGTACAAGAAGATAACCTTAACAAAAACCTTGAGGAGGTTAAACTAGTCAGCCCAAGTTAATGTTTTTTCCAGTGGCTGTGCCCGGAGAGTTCCTGGTTTAAACTGATAACAAGGAAGACACACTGTTTTTAGAAAAGCCCTAACTAACCTTTAGCTATTAGTTATCAGGAAGATTCGTGGGAGCTATTGATAACACACAAATATGCATTTGTTCTAGCTAATTGGATTACCATCCCTTGTCCTAGGATCAAGAGTGTCTGCAGGGTATGGTCAAAAAAGTCAAGATGGCAGTCACGACAGTACAGTACTCCTGCCTATGATGCTAGCATTTAGCAATGGCTAATATATTTGTCTTTTACAATAATCTCCGGACCATGTTCATGTCTGTTGGTATCTCAGTTCTAGCACAAATAGAACTTCTTTTGCTAGATGCTAATATTCTCTCCTGATCTCTTGCTCAGAATGAATTCTCATATCATACTAAGCTATAATATGGCAGTATATTTTCAGTAGAATGTGAACCCAGCCACTGTGGTTTCTAAACCAAGATTATGGCTTAGATTGTTAGAGAAATGCAGTTAATTATAGTTTAACGAAGAACTATAACATGATGCACTGACCCAATTACGCTCATCCAGCTGGCAAGATAGATTTTAACCTGGGGTAGTCAGAGGCTACACTTACAAGAATCATAATCATTTTGTTGTACTAGTTTTAATGGTTTTGGAAGACTTCAGATGGTGTGGCAGGTGATTGTTGTATCATCAGAAGAGCTAGAATTCGGTGAACAGGATGTGCCAACTGAAACAAGTTTATTGGGCCTGTTTTGTTGCTTGTTTATTTAAATAAAAAATGCAAAGTCCTGTCCAATTTTCTTATTTTGCTATTGGTTTTCAGCAGGTGTCCTGTTGGGGGGTGGGGGGAGGCTGCAAAAAAGCAGGGCTTCCACATCTTGTTTTAAGTACTAACACATTTCGTCATCAAAGGCTCTTGAGTAAATTTGGTGGCTAGGGAATAAGAGCATCTGTCCTTTTATGGATGCCTCATTGATTGAAAACAGCAGAAATTTGGAATAAATTGGCTTTTTTTTTTTTTCAATTGAAGAAAGCGGAGTTTCTTCAGAATTTGCATGGGGCTGTTTCCTCTCTGTGCCGTTGTAACTGTGCAGCAGGCAGTTAGACACATATCTCGCTCGCCTGCATCCAAGACAGAAATACCCTGGGATGCACATTAAAAAAGGACAGGGCTTCAACTCCATGGTTGTGGTTGCCATCTTGACTTCTTTGACCCCCCCCCCCATACAGACAACCCTGTGAGATTTTCTGGTAGCCTCTCTTCCAAATATGAGCTTTGTAAAATCAATCAAAGTAGGCTAGGTGCTGTCACACGCTATCAATAAATGTGGTGGAAGTTCTCCCAAATCAGCAGCTGTTTGTGCCCTGTTATCAAGACTGGGGCGGGCAGTTTGGGCTCTATAGGTGCTCTCTCCTGCAATCCCTGCAACACCACCGGCCATTTGCTCTTCTCTCTGGAGTTAATGAGAAGAAGGTCACCAAGTGGTGGGGTCCTTGGTGCTCTCTGAGCTTGGTTGTTTCCTTGCAGACATTTCATTACCTGTTCAGATAACATCAGCAGTGCAAGAGAGTGTGGGGTTTGCTTCCTCAAGTTGCTTGCCCCAGCTAAGTTAGTTAGCTGATATTTTTTTTCCTGGAGGATGCAAGGAAAAGAATCTGGGATGGTGAATCAATCTGTTCTTAATGGAAGCCCTGAGACAGGAGTGGTGTCTTGATAATTAGCACTGTCTCAGTTCTTTGCTTTTTTATTTAATGAGATCCCTATCTGCACTTGAAAGGGACAAACGCATCTCCTGCTAGCTATTCAGAGGAAAGAGAGAAGCACTACAATAGTTTTTCCCAAAGAGAGAGTGAATGTATGTATGAGAATGAAAAATTCTAGCTGATGTTAGCATAGCCCAGGGTGTAATCTAAGAACGCTGTCTTAATTGCTTCGCTGTCTTAATTGCTTGCCGAAGGGACCTTTGTCTCAATTAAATGCTGCTTTGTTTCAGTTCAAAGTAATTAAAGCCAGAAAGCAACGTGGTGTTGCAGTGGAGATATGAAGACCATAGGCTGTTCCATTCCATCCTCCTTCAAGCAAGTTTCTTCCCATCAGTCTGTAATCCCCAAGAATGCCGAATTTGGTTTTGGGGGAAGGGAGCAGCACCCGGAACCGTTGTTTTACAGATTGCTAAAATTTGTTTTCTCAATAATGTTTGCATTTCAACAAACCTCAGGAGGATTCCTGGATGTATGGCTTCATTTGGGCGATCCCAACAGCAGCAGCTGTGCTCCCAGCTGGATCACTAAATTGTTCAACAGTTTGAGGTTCAGGGTTGGGGAAACCCAGCCATTGTCTTAGCATATTGAATCAGGACAACACGTCAAGCCCATTCGAGGTGCATCATACTGTACACACACACATGTGAGTCCCTTAAGGAGCCACAGAAGAGGAAACGTGGGAATGTCCGAGGCTGCCTTAAACACAATCAGCACACTGAGCTTATTTACACGGCACTGTCAACCCTGGTTGGCAGCTACAATCCCAGGTTTCTGGCAAGACTCTTCTCGTGCTTGCTTCAAGAGACCAGAGACTGAATTTGGGACCTTTTGCATGGAAAGTACATCTTCTGCTACAAAAGTACAGCCCTTTCCCTCAGCAAGCTCTTCAAACTAAGTTAGGCTATCCCTCCAGTTTAAAGCAGTCCACTTTAACTGACAGAGGCTCTCTGTACTTCCAGCAATGAAAGGTCCTCCATACCTCCTGCTACCTGATCCTTTTACTTGGCAATGCCAGCAATTGATCCCAAGTCCTTGTATATGAAAAACAGATCCCTCATGGCAGAGTTATTGTAGTTTTTAAAATCCCCCCCACTCCCAGCCCCGAGTTGTAATCCTGGGAAAAGCTTTCCTGGCTACGTTTCTAGCAACAGGCAATTTTTCAAGGCGCGTCAGCTTTTTTAGAAGAAAACCAACCATTCCCCCCCTCCCCCACCCGCCGTGCCAACACACTCGCATACACTCACACATCCTTAGCATGGGGTCCAACCTTGTGATCCGCTGATAGAGTTTTCAAGGCCACAATGAAATCATGGGAAATCTTCCCAGCAGAGCAGATTCCCCAGGAGAGAGTCATGGAAGATTTTGGAGGGTTGGTGGCTGGCAGAAGTGATATGCTTCTATTCCGCCTGTTTTGGTCTGTGTGAAGAATCTGGGTCGGCAGCTGCCTACACATAGGCAACTGGCTTGATAAAGGGGCTGGGTAGCTCCAGGGCTGGGAGAGGCTCTACATGACTGCTTCTCTCTGTGCTTTTGGGGCGGAGTACTAAGCCTGTAGTTAAGGCAAACGTTTGCAAGACAAAGATAGGAGCCCCTACTTACTTGAGTGAATTAAACTCATGACCCATTTAGCCAAGAGCTGCCTGCCCTGGCCTTCAGAGTCTTGGAAGGGGAGATCTCTGGAGCTACCTGTGATCCAGTCAATCTGCTGGGGTCCATTTAACTAAGCATCCTCTCTGCTTCTTGGCAGTAGGGTTTTCATCACAGCTAAACATTATGGGCACAGTCAAAATGTGATGAGGTGGCCCCTTTGATAGCATAACAAATGTTGGGCTCTAATTTTAGGGCTGGGCTCCAATTTTAGCCTGGTGCCCTTGTATTCCCTGCGTTAAAGGCTATAAGGTGCATTGGGAAGATGCTGAGATGGAAGTATATTTGGAGGGGCGGGAGCTAAAGATGAGAACAGGGGTAGCATTAAAGAGCATTAAAGAATGCTCGTCAACCTTAGAATGTGCAGTCCCAGAATTACAGTCCTGGATCATCTATATATGATCATTTTCCATGAGTGATAAATGTTTACTTTCTGGCTGGGCGTTGATGTAATCGAAAGATTGGTCAATATTATGTTATGTGGCCAAAGTTTAAACATCGGGATGAATTATTTTCTGTACTGTATACAACGTAATATGTTTCTGTTGTTTTCTTTTTCCTGTTTTCTTTCACTCTGGGTTGGATTGGGGTTTTTTGGTATATTAAAGAAAAATTCACTAAGCAAACAATATCTGGGCTGCAAATATCAAGCTGACCATGAGATATCAGCAAAGATTTGGGGATTATTATTATTTTTTTAACCTCACTGCTGCTACTTACTGATCATCTGAACTTCTGGAAACCCTAATAGCACAAAGGAGAGGTTATTTAACAGACAGGTGCCACAACAGAAAAGATCAGTGTTCCCATCACTTCTAACCAGCTGCACGCCCCACTGAAAACAATGGGGCAAGTTTGTTGTGATGAATATCCACCTAATTCTTTCGGTGAGACTTATCCATGCCTAATTGTAATGCGAATCCTAAAAACCTAGGTGCAGTTTTGAATATTTCCTCTTTTGTTTCATCTGCAGCTGATATAAGCAATCCTTTTCAGAAATGGTCCTGGAAATAATTCTACCCCTTCCCAGAAAGAAGTCAAGAGAGTGTTTGGTCTCTGAGTAAGTTTTATTTGCAATCTGATAAAGGAGGGAAGATGTGTGGGGTGGCAGCTTCGGTCCACCGTTTCAATCTTGCTGCTCCTTCCCATTCCTTTGGCTGCCCCTCCCCTTGGTCTGAATTAACTCAGCTGGCAGAACTGGCTGTTTCATCAGTGGGTATTCGTTCAGTAATGGAGCTGTCTTCCACATCTTCTGAGATGGTTTCTTTTCTGTCAGTGTTCCTGAATTAGTTTTGGAGGGGAAGAGAGGGCAAGAAAGGCCGTGACAAGCCTGAACAAGAGTAGCAATGTTCAAAGGTGATTTGGTGTAAGAGGAAACAGGTTGGCAAGAATGAGAAGTTAAAGCCAATGAAAAATCAAAATTGAAAATGGAAGAGAAATCAAAGGTTTTAGAAAGGACTAAGATCGTTTGGCAAGGAGAAGGATTAGCTGGAATGCAAAGGAGCAAGAACAATGGGAAAGTGTGTGCCAGTTTGACAATAACAGATTGTGTGGAAATCCAGCCTAACAAAAAATGGGAAGGACAAAGATGAGCAATACTGGCAATGTAAGGAACTGTGTCTGGTTTTACAAGGCAGCAGGAAGCTATCTGGAGCAAAGCCACAGGATTTGGGCATAAAAAATCTGGTTGAGCTGGCCTGGCCTTTTCTACTCGCAAGCAAGCTTCCCATCAAAACTGGACAGACAGATGGCAAAGGCCTGAACAGCACAGAGGGGAAATCGGTAATCCATGGTGAAGACATCAGAGGCCACCCGGCCAAATTGTAGCACGATGTAGTCAGCTGCAAGCCGAAGAGAGAAAAGACCATTGAGGCAAAGGAGAGGATCCACCAAAAACTCTATTCCTTCACCCCATATGCCTGTCTATTTCCCCAAGCCTTCCTCAAAAGAATTCCCCAAGGGCTTCCTTCCCTGATTATTGAGTAGATCCAACTGTTCCCCAGACTTATCCTGAGTTGTCTGTCTTTCATTCTACTCCTGGAGCTTGATGAAGGGCAATATGGAAATCCTCACACAAGACTGGGGCTCTGTTTGCAGCACCTGTTCACACTGAGATGAAACTTGCACATCAGAACTCTTACCTCAGTTTGGATCAGGGCTATTAGAAAATAATTTGCCCAATACATATTGAGGACGAAAAATGTTCTAGATCGGACCAAAGCAGCCAACAGATGCCACTGCTAGTGCTGTCCTGTTCATCTCCTAACCCTAACCCTTTCTTGGCCAACTCTTGCCAACTCCAATCTGATTCACCTATCTGTAAATCTACAGGGGATTTGCTCCACTGTACAAAACTACACATTACACTTCCTTATGCTGATGCTCATTCTCTCCCAACTGGGAGAGAACCTTCTGGTGTCCCTCTTTGTTCTAATCACCTTAAATAATTTCATATTTGTCAGCAAAACTGGCCACAGTATATTTACATAGAACTTAGTCTCACTAAATGGGACTTCTGCATAGTTAGCACCAGTTTGCAAAACCTGCTGCATTCTCCTGAATACTGGCCACTACTCACGGTCATCTTCTGAGATGATTTGGAAGTTCTTGACCGAAGCTTGCGTGACACGCCCATGGAAGTTGAGTACATATGACTGGGTCTCCTCATTCCAAGCAGGCATCTTGTTCTGCAGTTTGATTAGGTTCTGCAGGTTCCGGTTCTGGTATCGTGTCAGTAAGGTTTCATGTTCCTGCAGGCAGAGAAGTACAAACATTATGGATTTCCTGTGCTGGCAGTTTTTCTCCAAAAATAGTAGCAGTAAGTCATCAGGGGGAACCACTCACATTTTTAGGTTGGATGCAGATCCTCTCATTCTCCGAATTCATGCCAGGAATTATCACTGTCATTTTCCGTGGACCTCTGAAACCCAAAACATTGGTTTCCTGCAAGGGAACAGGGATGGGAGGTAAGACTCTATTAACTTCTGCTTTTAATTCTGCCATTGGTTTGTTGAGAAATGTTCATATTTGTGACAAATGGGGAGCATTCCTGTTCAGCCATATATTTTTGTACTGGATAGTTTCTCTCCCCAGATTTTAAAATATCCCATCATTCCAAATAAAGCAAGACTATCTCTCTCTCCCCCCCCTCCGCCCGGTGCTCAATCTGACTAGGTAAGTCTGGAATTTACAGTCCCAATGCACTTGAAGGTGCTAAGTTGAGGAAGGTGGTTTTAAAAGGTGCAGCATTTGGAATGCTTTTTTCTTTCCTGGCTAGAATGGAAAACTCTGCAAAAGATTATCCATTATACATCAGCATATCCTTTTATTTTACTGGAGAAGAACCTCCCCTGATCACCTTAAAAAGCCAGCCACCTGATTTAACAAGATTAAATGCCTTGTAGGAGTCAGTCCCAACGTATATCAGGCCAATTGTCTAAGGATCTAAGAATGTTGTTGCCCTGCCAGGATTATCATGGATTCATATCAAAGTAAGAAAAATGCCAGATATTCTAATAATGACCAAAGGGTGGGAAGGGGAAACCATGTGACTATACAAAGACCAATTTCAGAGATTTAGCAATTTTTGAGAAAATTATTTATTTGTCTAATCAGGAAATGCCACATTATCTTTCCCTTTGGAAAAAAATTATCGGACAGGCTTGGTCAACATTGAAAACTTAAAAAAAAAGATTTACAAAATCAGGTGAACTTAGAACATAGTTGTAATTACAGTTTTGTTTGTTCTTTTTATGTATTTTCTTGTTACGTATTTTTTCCTTTTGTTTTTGTGTGTGGTAAATTGTTCATTTTTATTTTACATTATTTTATGTTTGTTTGCTTTGGGCTGGGTATCTCTTAGCACTAGGATCTTTCCTAACATGTAGGAGCGTATCAGTTGCTCTCCTCTGGCACACCCGTGATACTTACATAGCAAATGGCAACTAACTCCTGTCGCAGGTGGGCTGTTTCTGGAACAAAAGGTTTCTTGTCTGGATTGATTCCATTGTCAAATACAGTGAACTTGGTCCCAAGCATGTTAGATCTAGAAAACAAGCAAAAAAGATGTTTACTTCCTTTAAGCTTCTTACATCCTGCCTTATTTTCTTCAATCATCCCTCCCACCCTTCCCAAGCTAATTAAGTAAGAACCGAAGGCCAGTATGAAAATTACAGAGCAGCACCCACAAAGAACATAAAAAGTAAATCAATTATACCGAGAAATCCTAGAAATTGCAGTGCTGTTACGAGCAAAAGTCTCCAACAAAGAAACTTGTATTAATTATGGAGAAAGGCTTGATAATGAAAATGTATGTAGTGGGGTGCAGAGTACTATGCTACCAAAAGACAGTCCTTAATGTTTGGGTGTCCCCTCAAATAGTGTTGCATCACCCATAGAGGTAAGATAGGAGGTCAGGGGGAGTTTTCAGGGCTGGTCCTTTGCTTTTTACATTGTGACCTAAGGCACACCCTAGGATAGTGTTTCTCAATCTTGGCTACTTTTAAGATGTGTGGACTTCAACTCCCAGAATTCCCTAGCCAGCATGGTGGCTGGGAAATTCTGGGAGTTGAAGTCCACACATCTTAAAATTTGCCAAGGTTGAGAAACACTGCCCTAGGGTTTTCATGTGCTTCTCACCTCAACATCACAAGAAACTGTGTTCTTAGTTTTCAACAAATATACTCAAAAGTAATTCCAGAGGTCCTCCACTCCTCCATAGAGTA